TACGAAACTCCGAGTGGTCGTATCATGCCTACCGCCTTTTCGTTCGACACCGAGTACCTCCCCCAGCGACGCCCCTAAAGTGCGTCATGACCCTCTTTTTACCTGCTTTTTCGTTGAAAATGGACACATACCACATGTAAACAACTTGGAACCAATACACGTAAATGCATTCTCGCTCTTGAAAGGATCGATACCAAGAAGTTCTTTTGTTTTCACGTCGAATTAAATCTGCCTGTACGCCTCTGCGAACTGGAACATAATGTCGAGATCCAAACAAGCACGTTCCATCTCATGCGTCTATTATCGCGGTGTCGGCTGGCTGTCCGTTCGATATTACATCCCTAAAATCTAGTGACCTACTTATAAGGGATAACGCGTGCTTCGGTGCCGTCGGTTCCTTGTCATGTTTATTAGAAGAACACGAGTCTACAATATCCGATCGGATACCAACGACACAATAGAATTGGTCAGCGGTTGCCAAACAGTGGAGCTGCTCCGCTAACTCCAAGGATTGGCAAGCTGTACGAGGTGGCACTTTCATTTTCAGAAACAACTACCCTAAGCTAATGTGTGTTTCAAACCGTTGGAATGCGTCAATTAATTGGATTTCAGTCATTACGGAGCTCCGACGGGTTGAAACATGCCTGCCGCCTTTTTGCTCGACGCCGAGTACCTCTGAAATGTCCGCTCCCCGTCGACATCTGCCTGGCTATGGAAAAAAACAATTGAAACGCATAATTTGACAAATAAAGTGACGTCATAAAATCTCTGACAAAAGAGTGGCAACAACAATTCTTATAGTGAAGAGGCAACATTATATTATACAATGAAATTTTGGTTGAATCGGGTCGACAGGGACGAGAATCCATGGAAGACGTTTCCAGAAGTGGAAGTCAGGAAACAACTACAAATTATGGAATGACTCAAAAAGTTGAAGTCATATACAGGGTGTTTCAGTTTATTGTTGCATAACTTTAAGATTCGATAGAACTTTTAAAATTAATGCATAAAGTCTATATAAACATGGGTCGAAAAATGCGTGGCTTCCGAAATACAGGGTGTTTAAATTTACTTTCTAAAATAGTTTTTTTTAAATATTTCGAACAATATTTGATGTATAACAGTGAAAATTCGTATACAAGGGTTTTTTGGTACGACAAAACGAACCATGGGCATAGTTTTACTGTAGCCGCTAGAGGGCGCTCTCTACTATACTTGTAGTGTATTAAAATGACCGACATGTTTTTCTTAGTGCAATTTTTCGCTTTTTGAATAAAAAAACTGATTCTTTTCAACATAAAAAAGCTCTTGTGAATTTTCGTTGTAGTTAGCCGTTTTTGAGATATTTCGATTTTTAAGGTTCGATGCATTTTTAATTATTTATGATAATATAACGTTAAAAAGTCAGTATCTCGATAAGTTTTAGAAGTAGGCTGTGCCTGCAAATATTTTTTAAATTGAAAGCAAAATAAGGTTAAACGTCAATTAGTTGACAGTTAGTTTTGTTGTCTGTTGAAACCTGAAACGTTTTTTGCAATTGTGAATGCACGAAATTTAGTTTCTTTTACCTGTTTTTCTTTTGTTTTATAAAAATGCCATTTTTATTCTTCAATCAAGAGTTAGCGGATATTCATTTTGTGTATGGCTTTGTAAATGGAAACGCAGCAGAAGCGGCCAGGGAATACGCACGAAGATTTCCAAACAGACGACATCCAACTCGCTCAGTATTTGTAAGAGTGCATCGCCAAATAATTGAAAATGGTTTTGGAAATCTCCAAAGGGATCAAAACATAAATGTTCGTCAGCGCAGATTTACCCGTATGATTCTGCGTGAGTTTGATAGAGATCCGACCACAAGTGTTAGGAGAATTTCTGGTGCCTTGGGAATTTCAGCAAGCCATGTTCACCGTGTTCTGCCATAGACGTCTTACCATTTGCAACCTGTGCAAGGACTACAGCCAGGGGACGGAGAACGAAGAATCACATTTTGTCAGTGGATTCTTGATAGAACTGATAATAATAGGGAGTTTTTAAGTAACGTTTTATGGACCGATGAGTCATGCTTCACTAGACGTGGAGTGGCCAGTCGCCTGGCCTCCACGATCCCCTGACCTAAATCCATTAGATTTCTTTGTGTGGGGATTTCTAAAAGAAAAAGTGTACTAGACTCCCGTAACCACAAGAGATATGCTAATAGACAGAATCAGGAATGCATGTGATGAAATAAGGCCTTATTTGAATAATGCTATACCACGTTCGATCATTCGTAGATGTGAATTGTGTATTGAACAATTGGGTTTACATTTCGAGCAACTACTTTAGATTTTGTATGTTTGTCCTAACTATCCAATAGCATTTTAGTTGTAAATAATTAATTTAATTTGTTAAAAATAATATTGAAAAATTAAACAAATTAATATTCTGTTTTATTTGTTTATTTGAAGTTAGGAATTTATACTGTGTTTAAAAACACAATCTAAACGATCATCTTAATTACTTGTAATGCCCAAATCGAAAATGTAAAAAAAAATATTATTTTCCCATAGATAATTAAAAATGCATCGAACCTTAAAAATCGAAATACCTCAAAAACGGCTAACTAAAACGAAAACTCACAGGAGAGCTTTTTTATGTTGAAAAGTGCGAAGAATCAGTTTTTTTATTCAAAAAGCACTGTGAAAAAATTTTCGGTCATTTTAATACACTACAGGTACAGTAGAGAGCGCCCTCTAGCGGCTACAGTAAAACTATACCCATGGTTCGTTTTGTCGTACCAAAAAACCATTGTATACCAATTTTCACTGTTATACATCAAATATTGTTCGAAATATTTAAAAAAAACTATTTTAGAAAGTAAATTTAAACACCCTGTATTTCGGAAGCCACGCATTGTTCGACCCATGCTTATATAGACTTTATGCATTAATTTTAAAAGTTCTATCGAATCTTAAAGTTATGCAACAATAAACTGAAACACCCTGTATATTGGAACTTAACCATCTAAGGTGTCACCCAGGAAGGTTCCACGACTGTTGACACCAATGAACTGTCCCATTTGTACAATGAAACGATAATGCGGCCAACATACGAGAAAGAGGTCCGAGAGAGAGATGGAGCTGGTCAGGGCAAAAAGCTCGCGGACTTGAATGAATTGCATAGGAAACCGAGGATTCTTAGAGAAGATTTAAAAGTTATTCAAGCAACTGGAACGAGATAAAATCCTAGAAACGTAATTATAATTAAAAAAACATTTTTTTTTTATTTATATATACATATGTATGAAACTTGCCAATAAATTCTCCTTTACACATTTGAAGAGATAAAAATTAGTATTTAACATAATTAATAATTCTGGTAGCAAAGAGATTACATGTCTGCTTATAATTAACGTAACTGCTCTGATATGCTAAATCTTACATATAAAAAATAAGAGCTCTACGAAATATCACAATAAATACATGTTATTTTCTATATATCTTTATAATGCTCCAAATAGTATTTATGCACATTTAAATTTATATTATTTTAAATGTAGTGGGAACACGTCCAGTTTTGTAGAGATTAAAGTGTACAAAGAAAAAACTTATACCTTATATATATATATGTGAAAAATTAAAGCTACAGCCTTTTGTTGGGTACTTCGACTCTTTATACTTTTTTTAATTCTCTCTAGCTTTCAATGGACTTTGCCATCATCATCAGGAGCTGTAATTATAATGATAACAGTAGCAACAAAAGTGTAAAATGAATTTAAATTGAATCAACTTACAGTAGTATGTGAGGATGTTGCTAATTGTTGTTTTCGTATAGGATGAGGGAAATGTTCAGTAATATGGTGAGAGCTGGATACATGGTACAATGGTTAAAATTATATGACAAGACAAGTTAATGACAGATTAAAAATTATTTAGAAAACATTAGAGCATTACGTTGTGAAGCTACTTGATGATTGCACAAATTGGTGGTCATGGAATAATGAGTGAGATGAACCTTTGACAGAAGGCCGAAGGTTGTCAATGTCTGTGTTGAAAGATGGAACGAATTGGGGGCGTGTGCCAAAACGTTGCCAAATCACTTCAGATGATGTGATTTTCAGAATGTTATGTAAGAAATTGTTAAACCGACCAGAGGCAGTTGAATAAACTATATTTTAATTAATGGGAATTTTAAATTAACAATTATTAATAAATCGTTAGAAGAGAATTATTAGATTTTGAGTAGAATTTAATTTGTTGGTGGAATCGGCCAAAACATAGATTATATTTATGGTTGTGAAAAGTCGAAATTTGGGGAGATATGTAAGTTCTTCTGTCAAAGGTTCATCTCACTCATTATTCCATGACCACCAATTTGTGCAATCATCAAGTAGCTTCACAACGTAATGCTCTAATGTTTTCTAAATAATTTTTAATCTGTCATTAACTTGTCTTGTCATATAATTTTAACCATTGTACCATGTATCCAGCTCTCACCATATTACTGGACATTTCCTTCATCCTATACGAAAACAACAATTAGCAACATCCTCACATACTACTGTAAGTTGATTCAATTTAAATTCATTTTACACTTTTGTTGCTACTGTTATCATTATAATTACAGCTCCTGATGATGATGGCAAAGTCCATTGAAAGCTAGAGAGAATTAAAAAAAGTATAAAGAGTCCTCTTTGCTTAAATTTTGTCGAAGTACCCAACAAAAGGCTGAAGCTTTAATTTTTCACCTAACTGGTCTAGACGACAATGACCACGTCTCAAGTTATATATATATACAAAATATTTGTGCACAATGGCATTAACAATACTGTAGATGCACAGTTTTTCATTATAATACAATATAGGTTATACCATAGTTCATTCTAGAAATTATGAATTCATGTTTTCTTTTCAAAACCCTTCCATGGCTAGGTTCTTTCTTGAGATGGGCTGGAAAATCAAACACAGATAGAACTGGCACCTTTTTTAGTACCTTATTTCCATGAACACTAACTTCATAATCATCTGTAGTGAAATGCCTTTCACAAATTACCGTTTTTGTACTGGGAGTAAAGTTTTCTCTTCTTATAGCATGTAACCACAACTTCCTCATGTTAGGATCTGTAGGTATCCTAAAAATCCAGATATTTTCTCGAATTACCAATTAGCAGATAATTCTCACACAAACATGAATGAGATGATTAAAACCAACCTGTGAAACTCAGTGGCGGCTCGTGCCAATTCAGTGAGGTAGTGCCAGAATGGAAGCCATAATTTTGAATCGATTCAAAATTGTAAAGAATAACTTATAACTTACCCCTGATAGTTAGTGGTCAAAGTTCTTGAGGTTCAATAAATCTATATGTCCAAAAAAAAATCAAAAATAAAACTATTTACACACGCGCACCAAATTATAAAACAAGTGTGGAGAAGTACCTATAACTTCAAAGTTTTCTATACATGAAGTCCATTCTTCTTTCTTTTTTGGTAGCAAAGTTTTCGATTACCTTATTATTAAAATTTTCAATGCCACTAACAAAATGTTTTTCTGCAGACAGCATTCCTAAAGCACTAAGCCTTTCTTCCTTCATTGTGTTTCTGAGGAAAGTTTTAATCCGTTTCAGCATTGAAAAAGAGCGTTCTGCTTCAGATGTTGACATCGGTATAGTGATTAAAATACTTAAGAGCTTAAGAGTTTCTTGAAACGTACAATTTAATCCTTCCTCGTTCAATAAAATGGATAGTGGAACAGCTCCAGAAGTAGTACTCAATTCTTCTCTCTGATATAATACTTGTAACTCAGTTTTAAGCCTGTTTTTGTCTAAAAATGAAAATTGTGTGCATGTGTCATTTAAATGTGCTTCAGGAAACTGATGTTTATAAACAGAAAACTTTTCAGACACAAATAAATTAGAAGCAACTAAATGCCCAGAAAAGTTAAATCTTGTTCTTATTTGCGATAATACTGCATCGCATATTTCTAACGCTTCCCGGTTTTTGCTGCCTTCTTCAACTTGCCTTTTTTTTCTTGCCGGTTCATCAGTTTCTCTCTGCACTCGTTCAATCTCGTCAATAATGCTATCCATTTGTTCTCGTATAGTTTGAATTGCTGCTTCAAAATTCTCTAAATCATTTTTGACCTTAACAGAATCGGTGCATACTTTTTGTAATTGGTTAAAGACAATTTCAACATGTGGCATTATTTTATGGAATATACTTAGCCAAAATACAAAATTTGTATCTTGCAGCTTTAATTTGTACCCACCGGCTTGATTAATCGACGAAGAATCGCGTGAAGTACTTTCTATATTGTCCATAACTTCAATCAGGTCCTTCCTATTTTCATAAACTGTATGAACACCTCGTGACTGAAAATTCCAACGTGTTTGGGAAGATCTTGGCAATCTGCGATTAACTATTTCATCCAAAATTTTTGTTCTTTGAGGAGACGTCGAAAAAAAAGAGCACAATCCAGATAAATTATGGAAAAATATTCTAGCCTGCTTATTGACAGAGCATGCGCTTGTCATAATTAGATTTAACTGGTGTGCATAGCAATGAACATAATTTGCAAGTGGATAAGTTTCCTTAATAATCTTTTGAACGCCATTCAATTCACCACTCATAACAGACGCACCATCATAGCTTTGAGCTATTAATTTGTTTGGATTTTGATCTATTAATGGATTTACAACATTTAAAACGCATGCAGCGATTGATTTGGCATCGTGTCCGTCGGGGACGTAAAATCTCCAAAATCTCTCAACTGGTTGTCCTTTACACAAATATCTGAAAATAATAACTAACTGAAATTCACAGGCTACGTCAGTCGTTTCATCGGCAATTACTGCAACAAAAGGAGAATTTGCAATCTCCTTCTTAACTTCTTCATGATAAACATCTAGCATGCACTCAAGAAGCTCGTTTTGAGTTGTTTTTGAGGTACCCTTGAAAAGTTTGGCACTTTGAATATGGACTTTCAATTCGTTGTCTAATTCGGCGCTAAAATTCACCAGCTCCTTAAATATGCCTCTGTTTTCCGAATTTTCCTTTTCATCGTGACCCCTTAAGGCTAACTCAAATGCTCCACAAAACCTTATACAATTAATAATTTTATTCAATACATATCGATTCTTATCCACTTGATTATTATGTTTAATTAGATCATTGCGATAAGCCGAATTGAGTTGAGTCCTTATATTTAATTTACCAAGAATAGAAAAGCTAAAAACATTATTCATATGGACTTTAGATTTTTCGTGGGTCTTCATTTTATCCCATATATGTATAAGATCATCTGTACCTTTTTTTGACCAAGTCTCGTCACCTCCAAATAGAACACATACAAAACAAAATAGTTTATTCGTTTCTTCACAACCACATATCCAGCTGTTTTTATCGTACACATTTTTATTAAATTTGCGACAGCGCGATTTTTGTCCGCTACCACTTTGTTTCTCAATTTTTAAATCGGGTATTGGCCGTCCTAATTCTTTAATTTGCAGTTTTTGATCCAGCGAAAAACCACTAAATGAGTTTTTTAATATCCCGATTTTATTCATTTTCACTAGTTTTAATAAAACAGTAAAAAATATGATCACAAAACAGAGCAGTTCATTAACACTAGACGTACTAAAACAAAAACGTTATTTCTCACTTTTCAGGTAAAAAAAGACCGAAATCAGCACTAGACGTAATCATAACGAAACGACCGACCGAACAAAAACACCGCCGATATCATTTGATAACGAATTACGACTGATGATGTGCCTGGCACAAATTATACTTGTCTTTCGCTATTCACCTCATATAAAAATGTGTATTGTAGCGTTATCTCTGTCGCTCGTATGCGATGCTGGTAAAATTTCTCTCTTTTTATTTGGGCCGGCCCGACATTGGCACAAGTTGATGACGTCAAGGTCAAGGCATGCTTTATATCTCGTCGCGTGGTTCGGGTGCTTGCGGTGTTGTCACGTTGTCAGTGTTGTCACTTCATATAATTTATACCAAAAAAAAAATGAAAAAGCAAAAAATAAAGTAAAACATTGAAGATTGAAAAAAATATTCTTTTTGAAGAAGACAAGGTAGTGCCATGGCACCGTGGCACTACCTCACGAGCCGCCACTGGTGAAACTTCATTTTCACATCTTTTCTGCGTCTATTGCAACAATTCACCGCACTGCAAGATTCAACCATTTTTAAACAAATATCACATAAAACAAGAGCTCTTGAAGGCTGTCCGGCATAAAAATGTTTATAATAATTGTTGCAAACTATCACTATTAATCATTAACGTCACTAAAGACAAACATTCACCAAAAATCCTTAGAACGTACTTTGAAGTTGAGTCATTAATTTTCAGATAATGATTGTAGAAGGAAGATAAACCAAAATATGTGTAAAAATTTAAAAAAAATTAAAAAAATGTTACCTTGTTTTATAAAATATCCTCCCGACAAGTATTTCAGTGCGGACCTGTATTTGATCGTGCGGTCTTGGAGCACATACCCTCCCGTGTGAGGACTTAAGTCACCTGATTCACGAGCCCTTTGTACTACATTAACAAAGGCACTAGGGGTTGATTGCACTCGATTGGGAAACCGATCCGCATAAATCCGTGTTGCCGTAGCAGCATTTTGTAAAATCAGAATCATGTCCACAAGTTCAGCATTTTCGTAAACATGTGCCATTTTTTATTTCGTTTGAGCCACGCAGAAACACCACTCACACGTTACCGACTGACACATCGAATGAATACAACTGAATAAAATAAATGAATAAAACATCGTGATAAGCGTTTCAAATTCTTTCGCTTTTTTGTTTCCGATTATATCCGTTGTTGCCAAACACGAGCACATATTATTATTGAGACAGGGCGGAACTCAAACTTCTAAAGGGCTATAACTTTGTTACTTTAATTTTACCACAAAAATGTTAAAGGAAAAAAACATTTCCATTGATCAGATCTACTCACTGTTAAAATAAATGACTCAACTTCAAAGTCACCCTGTATATGGAAATACCACAATGGACCACGATGTTTTGCCAATGTTTTGCCCTGACTAGCGCTATCCTTCTCGTTTCTCATTCTAGCCGCAATGAATTCGCGTTACGCCTGTTCCATCAGTGTTGACAGTTCATTGGTTGACACCCGAACAAAAATTGGACAGGTTGGAAATTTCGGAGCCATTTGAGAACTTTGACCAACGATTCTGACGTTTTGGCACACATTGTGATGGCCAATGAGACTTATCTTAAAAACAGGATATTGAAACTGAATAAACGAGCTATCTGATCCATATGATGGCGCAGCAGAAAAAAAATTAAAGCCCATTGACTAAAAAGAAAAAGGCAAAAATTTTACAAAAAATTTTCTTGCGCTATCTGTTACAATTGAATGAGAACCGGTGCTTCTAAAATTTTTCGGCTAAATACACCTATGAACTAGAATCTTAAAGCTTCAAAAATATCATTTTTAAAGTCACCGAAATACACCGAATACAGTCAAAGGTCATCGAAAATTTTGGATGTTTTCCTTGCTCGCTTTTTTTTGAGTAATATCATCCTGCACGACAGTTTGAACGTCAGTAACGTGTCAGCCAGGTGGGTTCATCGACTGTCAACACCTGAACAAGAATTGCTCAAATTGAAAATTTCAAAAAGTCATTTGGGAACTTTGTGCAGCGATTCTGAATTTTTGGTACAAATTGTGACGGTGACAAGACATCATTGGGCTCCTGAGACAAAAACAGAATCGAAGCAGTGGGCTTGTAAAGGTTTAATTTTTCCCTAAAAAAAGGAAAGTATTGCCTATATTACACTCTCTTACAATGAGAATAACTACAGTAGAAAGGGGATATATTTCAGCTTCCAAATACACATATACATATGTATAATGGAGTATATCCACCCTATACATTATCTTCCGATTCTGCGTCATCCTCCGGATGTCACCCCTTGCCATCTGGCTCTCCCGGATCCTTCGACACCGATAACTTCATAAGTCGCCATGTCTCTCCAATATGGTGCGATCTCACATCCTTGCACTTTCTGCTAACGTAGTTATTCATCCAGTTTCTTGGAAAAACGTGAGCGGTAAACGTGACAAGTTCTGTGTCCAGGGTCGCCCGAAAATTGATTTTGTAAAAATTGAACTGATTAATAAATTTCTTGTAATTAATTGGATTCCTTATGTAGTTTACGATGTGTCGGAAAAAAATATTTCCTTCTTCAGAGCTCTAGAAAAGGAATTTTTAAAACACTCTCTTTTTAAAATCGAAGTAAAAAATACTAATTTTGGTTAAGACGTTATGTAAAATGCGCCATTTAAGCTCACCCGCGAGTTTGATAAACAAGATATCAGTTCCCAACGTATACAATCAAAAAAATTAATAACAAAACAAAGATAAAGTGCTTAGATGGATTTTTGAAATACGAATAGAAAGTTATTTCCGTGTTCGAATATCAAAGAAAAAGAAATTAAAGCGAACTCACCCTTTTACTGTGGTGGTTAAAAAATAATCCAACGTTATGCACATCTTAGACTTCATTTAGACTGCAACTGTTTAATATAACAAAAGCGGGGTACAGCTAGACACAAATTGATGGAAAGAAGAAACGGTGTTTCTGAATAGTAAAAATATGAACTATTTTTTGTTATATTTGACGTTTTGCCTTTTTGTCGATACATATTATCTGGTGGTGGTTATTGTATCAATGCATACTTAAATCTGCTATGTATGTTCCTTTGTTTACTTTTTGATTTCCGACATTTCCTGCAAAATCCTATTTTTATAATGACCGAGTCTAGATAGACTCGTTTCAGGATGTTCTTCGACTTCGTGCAGCACTGCTTCCTCAATTTCAGGTGTTCTCACACTTAGAGGTCTACCTTCAGACGTTCCTTTTTGGGCAGAACCAGTTTCAACAAGACGACGATGAATATTAGAAAAGGTTCGACTATCGGGCAAAGCACGATCGGGATATCTCTGGTGATAAATCCGTCTGACTTGCTCACCATTACCGTCGGCAAGGCCATATACGTAACGCATTTCCGCCATTTCTGCATTTGAATAATCCACCATTATTAAAACTAAATAATGAAAAAGACGTCACAGCGATCAGATTTGAATAACAGAGACTTGTCAGATGTCAAATTCCAGAGCAACTACATTAATTTTCTCGGACAATAGAACGGTTTTTATTTCTTTACTCAAAAATGGCGCATCGAAGGAAAACAGTTCAAGAGAGATCATTTGTTTTAAATTGAATAAGGAATCCAAAAATAATTTACATTTAGCAAAAAACCATTGGCGTACAATTTTTTTCTTAAAAACTATCGAAGTCAATACCGGTACGCACGTCACTGTTAAAGCTAAAAATATGCAGCTTTATTAACTCTCACTATGTACTAAATACACTGATCAACAGCCAAAAAATATCCTAAATAAAATCAACAAAATATTACTATTTTTAATGTGCTAAAACCGGAATGAAACTTATTTTTTCAATATTAGTTCAAGTTTTAGAGATACGGTAATTATATGTGTTCCTGCTGTGACAGTGTTAATATACTGTAATTCACAAGAATGCACGTGCTACATTTTTATATTCGGTAAGGAAAGATGATGTAATCGGCATGATTGTGTTACGTTATACATACGTGTACATTATATTGTTTTATATTAGCCATTTTTTCCTCAGTTGGCTGACAGCGTTCATGCAAGATGTCTCGAAAGTCTGTAAACAATCCAGATCAGTTTTGTTACGTGTGTGGTGATGTGACTTTTGCGTCTCAGAGACGGTCTATTACTCCGCTAATAACAAAGGCACATCAGCTTTATTTCGGTTGTAAACTAGGTGATCAAGACAAACAGTGAGCACCCCACATCTGCTGTAATACATGTGCGTCAAGTCTGAGGAGCTGGTTAAATGGCAAAAACGGCCTATGCGCTTTGCTGTCCCAATGGTTTGGAGAGAGCCTACAAATCATATTAATGATTGTTACTTTTGCATGGTACCTTGTGTTGGACAAGCCACAGGTGTGTCCAAGAAAAAAAAATCGGTTATTAACTACCCAAACATACCATCTGCGATGAGACCTGTGCCTCACAGTGACGAACATCCTATTCCAAAACCCCCAGAATCCTACACTGGCGAATCAGAAAACGAATCAGATCACGGCGATCGAGTGATTCGTCAGGAAGAAGATATGCCATCAACGTCAAGAGATCCTGATTTTATACCGGGCACGTCATGCCACCAACCGCACAAAATAACACAGTCAGAATTAAATGATCTTGTAAGAGATTTAGAACTTCCAAAATGTAAGGCAGAGTTACTTGGATCAAGACTGCAGCAGTGGAACTTGTTAGAAGACGATGTTTCGGTATGTGTTTTTCGTAAACGCCACAAAGACTTAGAACCATTTTTCAATATGGAGAATAACTTGGTTTTCTGCAGTAACATTAACGGCTTACTGGCGGCTTTAAATATAAAATATAACCCAGAAGAATGGAGATTGTTTATAGACAGTTCAACATTGAGTTTAAAGGCAGTGTTATTGCATATTGGAAATATTTTACCATCTCTTCCTGTAGGGTATGCAGTTAACATGAAAGAATCATATGACAATATGAAGTACCTATTGACATGCATAAAATACGATGAGCACCAATGGCATATTTGTGGCGATTTGAAAGTTGTTGCACTTTTACTTGGGCTGCAGCTAGGCTACACAAAGTTTTGCTGTTTTTTGTGTGAATGGGACAGTTGGGCAAAGGCACTTCATTACACCAGACAAAACTGGCCTGTTCGTCAATTCCTAGAGCCAGGTCAAAAAAATGTACAGCATATGCCATTAGTAGATTCGAAAAAAATTTTATTACCACCACTGCATATCAAGTTGGGCCTAATGAAAAACTTTGTCAAGGCATTAGATAGAGATGGGTCAGCTTTTCAATACCTGCGTCAGAAATTTCCAAGACTAAGTGAGGCAAAGGTTAAAGAAGGTATTTTTGGTTGGGCTACAGATTCGAAATATTTTGAAAAATACACAGTTTGAAAACACTTTAACAGGTATTGAAAAAACTGCTTGGAATGATTTCCGTCTGGTGGTCACTAATTTCTTGGGAAATAGAAAAGTGGACAACTATAAAACCCTTGTCAAAAATATGCTGTCATCGTATCAAAAGATGGGCTGTAATATGTCTCTCAAGATACATTTCCTACACTCGCATCTGGACTTTTTTCCTGACAATTCCGGAGCCGTAAGTGATGAGCACGGTGAACGTTTTCATCAGGATATTTCAACAATGGAAAAAAGG